ACTGGGAAACTGTCAGCATTTTAGACCAAGCTAAATCCAAAAATGCAAGAAAATTCTTGGAAGCTTGGTATTCAGACAAGGCAGCAACTTACAGACACATAGAGATAAACAGCATCTACATACTATTCAAAAGAGACAAAGACCAGAAGATCGCCTCACCAGCAATCATCACCCAGATAAGCAAAGGTTATCACAGGGCACACAAGCAAGCAGTAAACAATACCCTAATCAAGGAACTACCAGAGGAGCAAAACAAAACCCCCACCCTTACCAGCACTGGCAAGGCATGCCACAATATATAAACAGAGAGCAAACCCCATCCCATTTTAGCACTGAACATGTTACCTAGTCAGGTAATGAAATGTTTGCAAGAAAAGAACCAAGCTGAGAGAACCCCAAGGACTCCACAATGTTAAATCAGTGGTGATTTCAAGAGGAGGGTTCTTACCAATTCAAAAGCTGGTAAGATTTGAGGACATTGTGAGTTGACAGAGCCATTGAGGGTCAGGCAGCATGCAAGATGATGATGATGATGATTTAAGAAAGCTAAGTCAAAGCAAAAAAGGAGTTGTTGTGAGTTGGAATTACTAGATAACATTTTAGTTGTGGGTCAAGTTTGTGTGAATAAAGAAGAATGGCAGCAGCTACATGTATAGCCCAGAGAGCTACTGACTCTGACCACTGAAGTTTTTGACTACATCCTGATTTTATTTTGCATTCTAAGTTTTTTTTTTTTTTTAAAAAAAGAAAGTTAACACTCAAGTCCCTAAATTTCCCAATTGAAGATAAGGCTGATTATCTAAACTAATTAACTTAAGGGGTTATCTTCAAGTTCCCTGCTGATCTATGCAGCACAGTTTCATATCATATGGGTATTTTATTTTAAAATCTAGCATTGAATCCTTCTTAGAATATGGTCTTGATAGTTAGCATTTTATGTCTGTCAAAGACAAGGAAACTGTATTATTCCTAAAAACAGCCTTTCCCAATATATTACTTTTACATATTCTGTATTATTACCTCCATCACCAGAAGCCATTATGGCCAAAGGACAGGGAAATTGGAAGTTGGAAGCCTGCCATAATTGTTTCCTTTTTAAAGGGTCTTGTTTGATTTCTTCTCTCAAGTATCTAAACAATGATCAAGCATGAGGCTTATTAGTACAGATGTTTTTGAATTCATTTTAAAATTGATTTCTCATAACTATACTTTAGCTTTTATTTTAATGAAGTCTAATCTTCCCATATACCAAAGTTTCATATTTAATATGGGGAGTGTAAAATGCCAGCCAGTATTATGCCTTGGTAAACATACTCAATAATTGTGAAGCATTTATATTTATTCATGGGGTCAATTAGTACAGCAAGGCACCTCTGGATCTAATAGGGATATGAAATAATCCTGATACTAACCATCTATAACCCAAATTCCAAGCAGTGATGCCCCTCCAACCGATTAAAATACATATATGTAACAATATGGATATTTACAGCCACTCTAAATAACTTGTCTCAGGGAAGAGTTTAAACTGCTGATCAAATACTATTTCAATCAAATGTTCTAATGCTGATTTCTCTGTTCAAGAAAAACACAGGCCAATTTACAACATATGTCACTGGAGTATTAAGCATATAAGCTTTCTTCAGGTATTTATTAAGGTACCATGAATAAATACAGAGAACAACTTAATTCAGGCCAGTCTTCTATCAATTTTTATTAATAGATGGCTCAGTTTTATATATCTGGTAGTCTTTATTTGTTATAATTAGAGTCTACTGCTTGATGATAGAGCCTGCTGTTGTGCTACTACTTTCCTACCACCACTACCAAACTTCATTTTACCTGAATTAGTGTCTAAATAGGCTTCTAAAAGGACTTGTTAAGAGGTACCACTGAAAGGTAATGCAAAGAGTTGTGATATCAAAAGTTCTGTCCGTAATCTTTGCTCCATAATGATTTTTGTTGGTTTCATTTAATCATTAATATATTAAGTTATTAAGTAATTTACTATGTTATTAAGTAATTATACTAAATATATTTGAGTGCATGGCCTAGGAAAATGAAATAAAGCAGGAGAACAATTTATCAATTTCTGCCAATTTTTGCTAACACAGTTTTCAAACAACCAAAACTATGCTTATATACATGGACATCACCAGATGGAGTTCACAGAAATCAGATTAACTGTATTATTGGTAGAAAGAAGTGGAAGAGCTCAATTATAACAGCAAAGACATGGCCAGGGACTGACTGTGGAACAGATCACAAATTGCTCATGTGCAAGTTCCAAGTTAAGCTAAAGCAGAAGTTTCCACAACCAGTTTCCAACCAGTTTCCAAAATTTGGTCTTGAGCATATACCAACCATTTTCAAGGAGAACATCAGGGATCACTTGAAGTCCTGTACTTCACTGATGGGGAACCCGAGGAACTGTGGAATGAACTTAAAGAAGCTTTTAAGGATGAATATGAAAAGAGACTGCCGAAAGAGGATGTTAGATGCAAATTGGATGTTAGAACAAACTGTGGAAATTGCCAAGAAGGGAAGCCCAAGCCAAGAAAGATCAGGAAAGAACTTAACAAAGAATTTGAGAAACTTGTTAGAAAAGACAAGAAATAGAATTACAAAAACTTTTCTAAAGACATTGACAATGAAAACAAACATGGGAAAAATAAGGAAAGTCTTCCAGAAGATCTCTGAAGTCCAAAAGATCTCTGAACTCAGAAGAAGGTTCCAACCTCAAATTGGTATGTTAAAGGACAACAATGACAGATAGCAACTGATCCAGAGAAGATCAAAGATGGAAAGAATATACTGAAATAGTGCACAGTAGAGATGTCAATATCCAAGATACCTTAGAAGATATTGCCTACTTACAAGAACCTTTAATACTAGTAGATGAGGTTAGATCAGCGCTCCAGTCATTACCAAGGCAGAAGCTACAGGAATTGATAGAATATACACAGAATTATGGCAAGCAACAAAAGAAGGATCAGTAAGGGTTCTAACCAAGCTATGACAGCAAATGTGGAGAACACAGCAGCCAACAAATTGGAAGAGATCAATCTACATTCCAACACCAAAAAAGGAGATTTAACAGAATGTGCAAACTATCATACAATACCTTTAATTTTACATGCTAGCAAAAAAATGCTTAGGATCATCCAATGCAAATTAGAGCCTTACATGGAAAGGGAGATGCCAGATGTTCAAGCTGCATTTAGAAAAGGCTGAGGAACAAAAGACATTGCTGATGTACATTGGATAATTGTATAATAAGCCAAAGAATGCCCAAAATAAGTCAGTATGTGTTTCATTGGTTATAGAAAGGGCTTTTATTATATCCTTCATGTCAAGCTAGGGAATGTGCTTAGAAATATGGGAATCCCAAAACATGTCATTGTCCTATATAAAGGTCAGGAAGCCACAGTACAGACAGAACATGATGAAACAGACTGGCTCCAGGTTAGTAAAGGAGTGAGACAGGGTCGTATACTCCCTCCTTATTTATTCAAACTGTATGTGGAGTATATATTGAGGGAAGCTGGATTGGAAGAAGATGAGTGTGGTTTAAAACTGGAGAAAGAAACTTCAATAAGCTACACTATGTTGATGAAACTACTGTGATAGCTAAAAATGCAAATGATCTGTAAGCTCTAGTAATGAAAGTCAAGGAGTACCATGAAAATATGGGACTAAAATATAAAGAAGACCAACTTGATGACAACAGGTACAACAACCAGTCCTAGAATTGGCAATGAAGATACTGAAGTGGTGGAAGCTTCTGCCTTTTAGGATCAATTGTCAACAATACACCATAGACTTGTAGAGTAGCAATGAAATCCTGGGAAAAGATATTCAATGCTGGGATGTGTCTATCCCTATAAAGATTAGAATTATGCAGGCAATGATTTTCCTTGTGATGGTCTATAGAAATGGAAATTGGACTCTGAAGAAGCAAGATAGAAACAGCATTGAAACTTCTGAATCTTGGTATTGGAGAAAACTGCCAAGAATACCATGGATAGCCAAGAAAACAAATAAATGGATCATTGAAGGAAATGGGTAATTGTGTTCTCATTCAAGGAACATGTAACAAACTGCAGTACTCAGTTCCCAACGAAAGCAACTCCCCTTGACACCGATGCAGGTTCAAAGAAAAGTTCATTTATTGAGAAGTAGTGTAGAGCTCTAAAGCATTGCTGGAACTGAGTCCCATGCGTGCCAAAACTTGATTTTACCCCCTTCCCATTTCGCCTCCCCCCTTCTGTCTTTGAGTCTCTCTTGCGCATGTCAATGGTCCTGTCCTAGTCCTCTCCTGGTCTCACGCTGGTACGGCCTTGGGCATTTCTGAGAACCAGATAACAATCCATCTGTGCCTAACGGTCCACCTTCCAATCTCCCCCCCCCCCTTTTTTTTACTGTAATGGCAGAAACAAAGCAAGCAAACTAGCAGGACGGTTGTTTGATTGTGAGGATTCTGACATAACACATGACCAGGCTCAAATTATCCTATTTCAGACACATTATGCAAAGACCTATCTCCCTGGAAAAGTCTAGAATGGTGGGAAAAGTGGAAGGAAAGAGAAGAAGACAACAACCAGTAGCAAGGCTGACAGACTCAATTACAGTGGCGATGGGTGCGCTATATTGGAAGACCTGAAAGACCAGGTTGGGGACAGATCCTCCTGGAGAAAATCTATCTTTCTGGTTGCTAAGAATTGACACCAGCTTGATGGCACATATTCAATCAATCGATAAGTAATATACTATATATTAATATTCTGAAAAAGCCTACATGGGTTACAAAGTGGGGTGGATGGTACAAGATAAAATTTTAAAGGACAGAGTATTTATAGACACTTAAATGACAACAGAATAAGTATCTTTCAAGATACTTAAGGGAACATGAAAGAGCAAATTATCACACAAATCTCTGATAAATACCAACAACAGTTTAAGCTACGGCTTACATCAAATGCTGGTGCACTTTGCTGTGCACTCTGACTACTTGGCTCTCTGAAGCAGTCACTGAAGGGGAGCAAAAGACCCATTGCAATGATCCAAGAACAAAGCTTCTCTGCTTCTTCTTGGGGTGCATTCTCCTGCTGGCTGGAGAGCTTTTCTAGCAGAGTTCGACCTGGAAGGGAAAAAAACAACAGGTTAATGAGTTAAGGTTAGAGCTACCACCATCTGTGAGGCACACAAGCTGACAGGTAGAAAATAGTATCCAACTCTTCAGATACATTTGAACAGAGCATCACTTCAAATGCCTTATTATTGCTTTTATTTGATAAGCATCAACATCACCACCATCACCTCAATGTGATTTAACTAACATAGTCTTGGACTTGGATAGGCCATGTTGGTAAAATATGTGCTACTATAAGAGCAGCAATTTCAGAGAGTTAAGTACTAAATTTGGTGTAGGTGGTCCTTTGCTTCAGCTACATTTCTTGCATGGATCATGGGCACATGGAAGTAGATGGGAAGGATGTATTAGCTACTTGGACCAGCTTTTCCACAACTTGCTCTGCTGTAGTGTGAGTGCTCAGCAAACAGCACTGCCATTTCATAAGTTAATTAAATTGCTGTCAGGTACTAAAACTTAATTTTTCATTATAAAGCTAAGTTCTCAACTATAAAATAGCACGTTAACCTATAACCTACCACTTATCTGGTAAGGTTGATTGGATGGAGCATCAAGCTTATTTATAGGCAAACATTCCAAAAAGTTCTGTCTGACAGTGAAATGTGGGGGAGGAAGAGAAAGAGGTTGAGAGTTCAATTATCAGAAAATAGTGCTGCACTATAGGGGTCAACTTTCTTCTACTGGCCACCCCTATTCTGCGCTTACCAAGCTCTTAACAGAATGATTAGAATGTGAGGTTGTGTGGTAACAATAACCTACAAGAGGATGCTTTCTACATTGAAAACTTTCCCAGAAGCAGGAATAGAATTCTGCCAGGATTTTAGCTCTCAATGAACTGGCACTGCTTAAACTGAGACATAATGATATCTCTAACTTCATTGCCCTTGATCATCTTGAAGTGATTAACAAAATAATTTAAAAATATGTTTAAATAAATAAAGAGGAGATATTTAACACAAAAACTCATAAACTTTTGCTGAACTACATATATAAGAAATCAGCATGGTGTAGTGGTTTAGACCTTGGGCCAGGAGCAGGCATACCCAGGTTCTAATCCAGCCTCAGGCAAGAAGCTCAAACAAGTCAAGGTGGTGACTGCAATAATGCAATCAAAGCTCACTACCCCATTTTTTTTTTTAATGTGCAGACACCCCTATGTTTAATGTGTGATTTTGGGCCAGTTGGTCTCTCAGCACAACCTCCCTCATAAGGCTCTTGGGAAAAAATAGAAGACCCTGCTATGCACATGTCCTTGAGTATCTTGTATAAAAGATAAGAGATAGATCCAAGAAATAAAAGTAAATGTAGGCTTTTATTTATTGGATAATAAATCAATATTGATGTCAATTATAGTGAGACATCAGTATTAACTTATGTGAACATTTTCAGTTGTAGAGAGGAACATGCGCATGAAAGTAGAAACATAGGTTGTCCTAATTTTACTCTGTGTAAATTCTACACATACTTATTGATAAATCTCTTTTATTCCATATTTTAATTTAAAATATGTTCAAATGTATATATACTTAAATACACATCTTATCCTTCAAGCCTACCCCGCAAAATATAGCCAACCCCAATTCTATTGGCTTTTGCAAGGCCATGAAGACCTGGCTCATTCAATGTTAGTTATGTGGGCTCTGGTATGGGTATATGTGATTAGTGGTTTTGTGATTTCACTCTCAGCATGGTTTTATTTGGTCTTTCTTGGTTTAGTGGAATGCCTTGGTTTTACTTTGTTCACCATCCAGAGTTTCTTGGATTGTACAGCTGGGTGGCCATATAAATTGAATTAATAAATAATAAAATAAACATTTTTTAAAACAAATATGCATTTTTGTACAAATGTTGGAGGATTTTGAGTTCCAAACTACATACTAATCTAGGAAAGATGAATCAGGCTAGTTGGCCTAAAAATGTAGAATGAACAAATGGCATTCTTGAGCCTCCCCTCAAAAAACATGATGTGGTTCCTGCTAACTGCATTTTAGAATTTGCCAAGCTGCCAATTTTTTTTTATAAACAATCCTCAATCCACTCAAATTCATCAGGTGGATTAGTCTGCTGTTGATGGAAAAACAGCAGAAAGCTCAGTTTATCCTTACATGTACACATAAACATGGTATGCCAATACACAGGGGGTCTTTGAAATACAAACATCATTAAAAGGAGCTTGGTTTCACAGCAGTAAAAAATGATATACAAAGAGAGAAATCAGTGGATTTGAAAAAATGGGAAGTTTTCACTTGCTAATTTATTTGAATTTGAATGACAATAAACAATAGATATCATCAGCTAAATATGCTTTCATTGTCACTTCAACAAACCTGCATCCACGTTTTCAACAATTAAACCATTGTCATAACAATAAAGTACATAAAGTACAGGATACAGTTACTGAAACAG